TTTTTTATTTTGTGGTTAGATAATCGTTTTAATTTTGATAGGTTCAATTTTTGTAGTTTTCATTTACTTTTCGTGGTACATAACATAGAAAATAACATAATGTATATTCATGTTTAAAAAGATTCAAATTTTTGGGGTTAATTTCAAAGGTATAAATTTTTTAAATTCGAGGTCATATCTTCTACCGCGTTTACTTCTAAACTGTGCGTTAACTTGTGCCATTAAAAGTCTATTAAAATTTTCGGGCAATAATTTACAGCCTAATTTTTTTAAACGCTCAAATTCATTTTCTTCTTTCAGTGTTACCTTCTTCTTCTTCTTTTTTTCCAAATGAAGTCGTCTAATCCTTTGACGTAGCTTGTTATTTTGCGTCCGTAATCTCTTGATCTTCAAATGCAATTTTCTTTCCCTTGGGCTATTATCCGTCGATTCATCAATGACATTTTGACTCCTAGATGTACTTCTGTAATATGAGACAAATTCATTAAACTCATAAAGTTTTTTTTGGAATATGATAAATAATCGAATAAATTCTACTAACAAGAAATAAATTTAAATAATATCTATTAAAACATAAAGTTAAAAAATAGAAATATATAATAGATTAATTTTTGAATTACACATTCCAGTAATAAGTAAATGTTTGTAAGAAAATTATAAATGAAAAAATAAAAATGTATGCTTTACTATACAAATAAGTTATTAAATGAATATTTACGGTTTATTTTTTCCAGTCTCTATGTCATGGATAGTGATTGGCATAATTACTTCTGAAGTGTTGGCATTACTGAAAGCAGAGAAAATATCATAAAAAGTTATATACTTTTATTAAAAATGAAAATGTTTACTATTAATATAAATTACCTAGTCTCTTCTTGCATTTGAATTACTTCAGCATCAGTTGTCTCTGTACATGTATTTCTGCAATAAAAGAATGTATATCATAACTTTACAGAATATTGTTATATGAAAAAATATAAAACAGTTTTTGAATATACCTATTTGTTTTTTCTATGAATGCATCTTCTTTTTCTGTTTCATTAGTTGAAAACAGTTGAACAACATTTCTGAAAAAAGATTTTAATTATTTTCTGTATTTATACTCTATTTTAATAATACACAAATAAAAATGACAACTATTATCAGGTATTGTTATCATATATTATATCGTTCGAGTACACAAAGAATGACACAGGGAAGTGCGATGCTTCTCAACAGATTTTCTACGACGGTTTCTTAATACAACATTCTTTTCAAATTCTTACAATCAGACGGAGACTGTATCCAATAACTCCGCTCAGAACTCATGACTTCAATACAATATAGAGAGAAGAAACGTGACTCGACAGCCGATCATTTTAATTCGGCAACGCAATTCTACTTCAGTCTCAGATATACCGGATTCTCAACATGCACAACTTAATTCTAATGACTTGGCAGTGACCCGGGCGAGTAACAACGATAATTCCGAATCTACTAAAATTCGCATCGGAGCGGACGGCACGTGATCGATAGGAAATAGAGCACGTGCTCATTACGATAGGCCGGTACGACGTCGGCCGTTCTCAATTCCGCGTAGATCTTAACGCGCGATCCGCTCGAGACGTCTACAAAACTCTCGCGATCGGTGGCTTTACAATATGAATCTTGATATGACGACACCCGCCTCACCCGCACGCATCCCTCGCTGTCTTCAGCTCTCGTTAGCCCCTGGTCCGTCAGCCGTCTCTCTATTGCGTCAGCCGATGGTACGGGTTACTTCCGAGATCCTGCGTCCTTCGCGCTTTGTGGTCACCACACAAGTGCCGATGGGAAGTTTCCGCGGATCCACGCAGGCCGTTAGGCCCCTTTCCTCTTGGGCCACTTCCTGATTTAATTGGCTCATCACGACCACGTGGCCTCGCGACAAATCAGGCGAGTCCTTGCGTGTCGCGTATCCTCATGTCGCATGGCGCGCTTTTCCAAATCAGCGGAAAGTGCTTTCTGGCGATCAGTAATCTCTTGGTGATCTACACGGAGTCCGGCGCTTCGCCTAATGTCCGTCCAGAGCAGGTCCTTTCCGATGTCACGTCTCTCTCCGAGGCGTCTGTAATAAGGGATGCGATAAACACCAATTGATAGCGACATTCCTACCAGGTACAGAATAATACAACCTGCGTGCACCTCCTCTCGATCGCAGCTACGGCCTCCATTAATCGTTCTCCGTCTTGGACGATGTATTGTCTTCTTTCTTCTTCTAGGGGGTGAGGCGGAGAAAATACACAAACATAGCGCAGCCACCGTCTTCTATCGCAACCGGGTGGCGAAATTCAGACTCAGAATCGCTTTATAGCTAGCTAAAAAAATAACTTAATAGCGACAAGGCAGGCAAACAAAAAGAAAAGAAAAAAAAATTTAATAATGATACGAAATACATAATTAGTCGCCAGGAATAATACGAAAAAAAATAATAAAGTCGCACGCTCGCTTGCGCACTCGCCCTTTTTAAGCCCGAAGGACTCAGGATCTCCCCCGAACGTACTGTCAAAAGTGACTGACAAAAATTGTCACGTCACAGTACATATAAAATAGTATATAATAATTTTACAGCACTTAATTTGATCAAACCTAAATAAACTGAATTATTAAAAAAATAAATAATAAAAGTAAAAACTCACTTTTGTTCAATATTTATTCCAAATAGAGTAGGTACAGCGTCTGGGTGAAGACGAGCTCTAATTTTGTTAATATTGTACCATTTTTTTTCAAAATGTAAATGGCACAAACAGCAATTGTGATAGGCATATTCTGGACCTTTGGGTTCTAAATCTAGCCTTCCACATGCTCGTATCCACTGTATCCATCTATGTACATATATATATATATACACATATATACATAAGTTATAAAGTTTTATCACATTAACAGAGTAATATAGTTATTTAATAATTCCAGCCTTCCACATGCTCGTATCCACTGCATCCATCTATACACATATAAATATATACACATATATACATAAGTTATAAAGTTTTATCATTAACAGATTAATATAGTTGTTTAATAAAAGATTGCAACATTTTTTTGTAAAAACAGTAAATCACTCACTACAAGTAAGTGTGTGTGTGTGTGTGTGTGTGTGTGTGTGTGTGTGTGTGTGTGTGATGACACATAATAAAATTAATATAAACAAAATTTACATTATAAAGTAATAATTATGAAACAATACCTGTCATGCTCTTTTGGAAATCTAAAAAAATGTCGTTGTTCCACATTAAAACTTTGAACGCACAATGGTACAGCACAAGTTGATTTTTTCTTTCCACTCATTTTTATTGTTTTTTTTTTCAGTTTCACTTTGTGATTTAAACTCTCTTCGTCAGCAACACCTGAAACAAAGCTAAGATCAAAAGTGCAAAAATACAAGAGAATAGATAATTTATACAATAATTGTATAGATTAACTATTCTCTTAGTAATCGTTCCTCGTTTCACTTAATTTTTTCCACTTTTTCACTGTTTTATTTCCACAATCTTTTCAGTCACAAACTAAATTCGTAGTTTCTCAAACTAACACAACTCAAACAGACGGTAATTATACTAATTTCCTTCAAATTTGAGCTTTCTAAGCATACACTGGCACACACCTAATCACAGGATCTTTAAACGGAGCCGTTTAAATGGTCCTGACAGAGAGTGACAGAGAACGGATAAGAAGAAGTGAGAAAGAAGTTTAGGTGGCGCGACTGGGCATCTTGCTTATTTCGCGCATGCGCACTCCATTTTGTGTGACATGAAATCGGGAGAGTTACGCTACTGTATATACTGTGGCAGAGTACTCTCTGCCCCCTTTCTCTTGTCGTTCGGTGCCTCGGAACGCTTGTTCGTCAGCTGAGAACTCTCAGTGGAGTCGGAGAACTCTCCAACCCGGTTACTACGGACTCGCAATGCTCTAGGAAGTCGGAGTACTGGATGGATTCGTGTCTGGAACAGGAATGCTCTGTTTTCGCTGTTACCGCAGCGTTTTAACGCTTGTCAAAATGCCTCATTCGTGAGGCTTCGCTTTCGCTCGGGCTTCCCTGCCGCTCGGTACTCGCGGTGGGAGTTCGCGGTAGCCGATCTGTTTCTGCCTCGTTCGGCGATGCTCGGCGCGGCGCGCCTCTTACTGCCACCGTGTACCTGTAAATTATGCTTTTTATTTATCGGGCGCTTATGCGCCCTCATCGCTGCATCACGTGGCGATGCAGCGGCGTCCGGCCGGGTGTTCTGGCTGGGACGATGGGGGTGCATCGTTACATTTTTGTAAACTATATATAATTGGCTACAGAAGTACGTAGGGGATTTTGAAAATATTGAATTTTGAAAAAATAATGCTTATTTGAAGAAAAAATTCATTTTCCATTAAAAAATTTCATCGTAAATTGTTTATAACAAAAAAAGTTGACAAGATATCAAAAAACTCCTACGTACTTCTGTGTAAAATCTAATTACAAAGCTACTGTTAAAATTTGAATTGAATCGTTCAAAAATTGTTCGAGTTGTGTCCGGCCAACTTGAAAAACATTGTTTCGAGAAAAACGCGTTTAAAGTTTTAAGTACTAAAATAGTATAAATTTTTTTTATATACCTCTAGTCGGCAATGCCTGCACCATATATTTCACCTTCCAAATTCTCCTACTCTGCGTCTTATCTGACCGATTTTAACAATACCCTGACCTCTTTTGCCTTCTGCCACGAGTATCACGAATTTTTTCTTATTAATCGAACGAAGGCAGTTTCGGTTTCGAAATAAGTACTTAAAAATTTTATTGCACTACGGGGCCAAATGTACATTATTTTTAAGACTCTAAGGCATCATTTAAACAAAAAAAAATTTTTTGATTATTTTGAAAATTCTAGAGTGGCGTTACTCCTTAATTCAGAAGGGTCTTCCTCAGGTTTCAGTATTGAGCCCAATATTATTCAATCTATATGTCAAGGATATTTTAGATCATGTTCCGCAGAACTGTGTTTTGCTACAGTTTACAGACGACATTGCCATTCTTTGTTCGGATCCCTCTGTAGACGTTGTGTGTGGGAGTCTATCTCAATCATTCAATCAATTGCAGGAATGGCTGAGTTCCTTATCCTTGGATATTTCGTTACCAAAAACGCAATTTATCGTCTTTCATAGGAAAAAACAGTTTAACCTACTAGAAGAGCTTTCAGTGAACGGTGGTCTCATACAGATTTCACAGCATGTTAAATATTTAGGGACTACGTTGGATACTGGCCTTCGTTGGAAGCAACAAGTTGCGGCTTTACGTACTAAAACATCATGTTTCATCAATATTTTAAAATAGTTGGTAGGACGTAGTTGGGGAATAAATCCTGAAATTGCGATCAACTTTATAAACTCTACCATTAAATCGCAGCTTGAATGGGGATCGATGTGGTACATTAGTGCAGCAAGATCATTCATTATAGTTGTGGAACGCATACTATGGTCATCCTACAAAATCGCCATGGGTCTCCGTAGATTTGCTTCAAATAAGGTTTGCTGGTCATATTCCGGACAAGTTTCTCTAATAAGAAGAATCTCGTATAAATGTGATAAATTTATACTCAGGTCATATCAACTTTCCAAGTTTAACATTATTAATAAAATCAAGCAATTAAATTCATTAATTAATTTAAAGAAAATAGCGGCCAGAAATGTTCCATTTATTATTTTAAGATGACCAACGATATCGGATGATCTGAAACATCTTCACCAGTTGCCAATTCATCCAAGCCTTTTGCCTGTACCTCCAGAAATTAATAGGCCGATCAAAATTGATTATAAATTGGGGCAACTAGCCAAAAATTGTGGTAATCCAGATAGGGCTGTTGTACCTCTCGGTGCAACAAGATATTATTTTGGGATTCGGTCCGCTCAAAGGGTTGGAACCCACGAGGAAGACGAGGATAGAGAGCAAGGTCGTCGAACACACTCACTTCACCACACTTTCATTTAAAATAACCCCTTTTATTTAACAATTTTAATAATTGATTACTAATGTTGCACCTTTCATTAATATAATTATTTATTACAATGGTTCACAATTTATTTTAGTAATCGTAACCTTTTATTTAAGTAATACAATTATTTAATTAAATGAATATACTTTAAAGTTCTCGCTTGTGACTTACGAGTAAACCGGTCGGGCGACGAACGTTATCGCGGATGTTACTTGACTCGGTTCTCGCGACGCGCGTAACGTATTGTTACGTTTAGATTTATGACAAGACTCTGCGCTCCGCAATTAGGCAGTCGCTTATATTGAGTTTGATGATGTCGCTTTTGGTCTCTGTTCGGACCATATATGGTAATATTCATCGCGCTAGAGGCGCGATCGCGTGATTAAAGAATGTGCAATCTTGCAATTCCGCTGTCGGTTGTCATGCCGAATGCAATTAGGTATGATGTCGCTCGCGCTATGGTCTTCGATCGACGCTTTGTTCGCGTGCGGTTTTCAGGAATGTGTAGACTTGCATTTCCGGTGCCGGTTGCTATGCCGGTTGAAATGAAATAATTGATAAAATAAGTGATAGCCATTCGGGCTATAAGAGGGCTTTTGTTGGTCTGATCAATTTGAATAAATGCAATGATGAAGAATTGTCTATATTTACGGATGGCTCGAGAATGTTAATTGATGATATTTATTATGTCGGGAGCGCATTTTGGATTCTTGTGCGACAGATAGCTGGAATGTTTAGGCTCAATGCCCGGTCGGGCTCATTCTTGGCTGGTCGCCATTGACAGGGCATTGGGCTTTGCCTTAACTCAATCAAGTGGATCAATTAATGTATGTTCAGACTCGCGAAGCTGCCTTGAGGCCATTGATAACTGTTCTGTCTATAAATTAAATAAATCTAATAATAATTTAAACCCTGGAATAGGTGATATTATTGTTAAAATTAACCTTCTTCAACAGAAGAATACAGTAGTTAAATTTACCTGGTGTCCGGCTCATGTGAGTATTGAGGGCAACGAGATGGCGGATAGACTGGCCAAATCGGCTGCCAAATTGGGAATGATTATTAACAACAAATTATCCTTTTCAGAAATTCTTTCAAATCGCCATCGTCAATATGGTGAACTAAATAAGCAATATGTTGACTCCATGAGCCCGGGTACGGGATCGTATTACATGGAAAAGTTTCAGAATGTCAAGGTAGCTTCAATTCGGAAAATTATGAGAAATAATAAAAGGTTTGAGTGGAGTCTGATCTCAAGAATTATATGTGGATACCTTTGTACAAGGGTCCGTTTATATAAGCTGAACCTGGCGGATTCTCCCATATGTGATTGCGGGGAGAGTCCGCAAAATATTAATCATATTGCATGGTCATGTCCTTATTTGATTAACCCTAGAAAAGATTTAATTCGTGTTTTAAGAGAGTGTAAACTTCTTCAGCCATTTTCAATTGAATACTTAATAGGCAATATGAATAATAAAATAGCATGCGCCTTAAGTAAGTTCTTAATTGAAGCCCAAAAATTGCTTAATATAAATTTTTAATAAGAGATAATTGTTGAGTGTGTGTTTGAAGGGCCGTAGATTATTCGCAAATGATGATCTACAAGAAGCCCAATCAAATAAGCAACAATATTGATTGATGATAGAAATATTTCCCAGGCTGAGAGATACTACTACTCAAACGGAATCTCTCCCTGAAGGCCACTGTCTGCAAGGTTAATGGGCTTCATCCAGGAAGCCTGAATCTTCTGAGTATAAAGAAGAAGAAGAAGAGTGTCAGCATGAAATAGTACCTTAAGGCTGGGTCCACAACCTTGCTTTAAGAGACCGTAAGCCGTAAAGCCGTAAAAAATTGACCAATCATAGTTGAATGCGAGAAAAATAATTCTCTGTGATTGGTCAATTCCTTACGGCTTTACGGCTTAGGGCCTCTTAAAACGAGGTTGTGGACCTCGCACGTAAAATCCTTGCACATAAAAAAGTGTTAACCGTACCCCGGATCTACAATAGAGTTTTAAGCCTTAAGCCATAAGAAATGGACAAATTCTAGTCGATAATTCTCCTCGAATTCGACTGTAATTGGCTAATTTCTTACGACTTAAGGCTTAAAACACCTATTATAGATCCGTGGTAAAGTCCATGGCACATAGAAAAACGTAATGCCGTAAACGTAATCAGTAAGCGAATTGACCAATCACAGTTAAGAACGTAAGCAGCCACAGCCGTTACGTTATTCTATGTACCATGGGCTTTACGTTTACGGCCTTAAGCTGGGTATCGATCATGAAACTTTTTCCCCTAGGATGAAAAGTGAAAAGTGAAAAATTTCTCCATTAACTTCAATGATAAAAATTTCTCTATTAACTTCAATGATAAAAATTTTCACTTTTCACTTTTCATCCTAGGGAAAAAGTTTCATGATCGATACCCTAGAATCACATGGAGAGGAAATTACAGCGGAACGGAACAGTGAAACCAATCAAAATTCTACAATCATTCCGCTGCTTTAAGGGGTTAGTCTAGGATCTCGGCGTCTTTTTTCAAGAATTTTTTTTTCATAGAAAAATTTATTTAATCGTTTCAAACTAATTTACATATAAAAGAGTGTATCTTAATGTGCGTAAAAATATACACTCGCATGCAAAAAAAGCGGTACACTGAAAAATTAGGAAAAATTTACCAAATTTCAAATGATCATAACTTGGTAAATAATAAAGATAAAAATATGTTTAAAAAAGGAAAATAAAGCTTGAAGTGTCGACTTTAAGAATATTT